CCGGTATAGGAGAAGCTACGGCTTGTCGTCTGGCGGATTGGGCAGCGCTGCGACTGTGGCCATCTCGTGAAGCATGACCACGATGATCGGAATGAGACATGAGTGATATGGTTGACGGGAATCACTATACACAAATCAGAGAGTTGCCACAAATCACTTATGAGGCCCTTCCTCTAGCGCCAAACTGTTGTTGTATGATTCTTAACAACGATTTAATGTGGAGTTCACGTGATAATTGCGAGTGGTTTAGACGTAAAATATGTGAAAAAGACTCAACAATGGCCCCGGTCCGAGGTGGACCGAGGTGAAAAGCCTCTGTGGGCTGTTGCGTGTTGCATTATTAGAAAATGTTGGGTCCGGTATCCCGTACTGGTCTCACTAACCAGCTATTTATAGTAACTTTTATACACATACATTGGGATCCGTGTACGATTTTTTAGGAAAAGCTACTTTTGATGGGCGGCCGACTCAGTGGGCCCCATATGAATGATGACAAATCTCGTAGATTGTGACAAAGGGCGTGTAGGCGCCTTGTCACCTGCTTTAGGAGGTGACGAGTTCGGTTCATGTTGACCTCGGTTTGGATTGACCTCGGCGGGAAAGGATCACTTCGGTCTTCTGGGGTTGTACCGGTTTATTGTGCGAACCGGGGCGAACCGGGATGACTCTAAATTACATCGGTATCCGAGTCAAATTTGCTTATGGTGCTGTTTTGGGTCCTTAATTACGCTTTACCGAGTTGGATGATAACAGAGATGTAGATGATGAATTTGATAATTTAGGGCTTTAGGGTTTATTTTATTTGACAATTTAGGGCTTTAGGGTTTATGTTATCTGATAAATTAGGGGTTTAGTGTATATTTCTTACAATGTAATTTGTAATGTTGGGATTAATGTATGTGATCCACTAACATTCATTTTCTGATAAATTAGGAACTTTCATGTTGGGATTTAATGTATCTGGGACATGTTTATTTTTTAATGTGATGAGTGGTGGTCCATGCATTTGTTATGTTTCTTTTATAGTCGGCAATTTCAGTGGTGGTCCATGTGGTCCATGCATCTGTTATGTATCAACTTTTTTATTTGTTTCATGTTATTGAATTGCAGGTGTCAAAGATCCTTATTACCTTACCTTGAAAATACACCATGATGGGGTTATAACGGATGATATAACTCCAGGAAATCAGAGGTATGTGGGAGGAGAGATTAGTGCATTTGACTATGTGGACAAACATAAGGTTAACATGGGTGACTTGTGTAGATTCTGTGAGGAGTTGGGTTATGGTGGAGTGAAAAGGTTTTACAGGTTTGACTCCTTCAAAAAGTTCAGGGAGATAACCATGGAAACAGATTTGTTATTGGCTATTGATAGGTATGAGAAGAGAGAAGTCCACATATGGTTAGATGCTGAGAAAACATGAAATAGCAGTGTAGGTGATGGGGGTGTTCCTGTAGGTGATGGGGGTGTTCCTGTAGCTGATAGGGGTGTTCCTGTAGGTGATGGAGGTGTTCCTATAGATGATGGAGATGAAGGTTTGCATGTAGGTGATGGAGATAAGAGTGTGCATGTAGTTGATGCAGATATGAGTATGCTTGTACATGATGAAAATGAGGTGGACCAATCTGAAGATGAGGACTTTTGTGCAAGTAGGGACAGTGATAGTGGTTTTGATGATATCTTTTTTGAAGAATATGTTGAGGCAGAGGAGTGTGTGGAAGGTCCTAAACAGAAAGAGAACCACCAACATGAGATTGATGATGAAATGTCCACTGACAGTGCCAGTTCCAATTCCAAGCACACAGAGGATAACAGTCATGATGATTTCTCTAGTTGCAATGAGTCAGTTGAAGAAAATGGGGAAAATGAGAATAATGAGAGCAATGTCTTCAGTGAGAAGCATATTAACAATCCAAAGTTTGAACTTGGCCAGAAGTTTCCCTCCAAGAAGATCTTCAAACAAGCCATTGCTAACCATGGAGTGCTAACCCGCAGAAGCTTGAAGTTTACCAAAAATGATAAAAGAAGAATTTATGTTAGGTGTTATGCAGCCTGGCATGCCTCTGAATCCGGGTCCTCAACGACCACACCTCCCTCAACAGGGATGTCCAAAATGGCCCGGACATCGTGCAACATAATGCTCATCTCACCAAAAGGCAGGTGAAACGAGTTAGTATCAGGCTGCCATCGCTCCACAAATGCAGTAATCAGTGGAGTGTCCAAGTGGGCGTACATGGAGTCTACCAGATGTGACAGCCCGGTCTATCTAATCAGATCAAGTGCCTCGACAGACATTTCACCTCGCCAAGCTTTCAGATTTTCTACAGCTCGCTGTCTGTTCTGGCATTTCAGTAAGTCTCGCATCTGTCCATTCCA